TCAGCTCCGCTCCGGCTTCGCAGTTTTGAAAGTTCAGCTCCAGCCACAACTCTGAGAGGGAATTATTCAGTCGGAATCTTGTCGACTCCACATTTCAACATTCTAACATTCGGATTCCGACCGAAAGTCGACCGTCGGTCGAATGTCATCATTAATGATAAATATGATTATTCATCGCTTGAATGAAACCGTGACTAGACAATCTGCCTAACAATAAGGACGTTTTGCCTAAGGACAATTGGTCTAAAGACACCTAACGGACGGTTTGCATAACGGACGGTTTGCTTAATGCACATTTTGACTAAAAGAGTTCGCCCAATGAGAATTTTGCTTAACGTCATTTTGTCTAAGACGCATGTGAGATGACCAGACGCACCCGTTCAGAACATGTTGGGAATGTTCATCTGGTGGCTATTACTAGAACACCTGTACATATCAACGTTGGTGATTTTGATGGCTTCAATCAAAGTCAAGATTTGACCAATAAAGTTACCAAGAGCAAACAACGCGTCTAGTTCATCTTTATCACCGGCGATGGACAGCTTCCCTCAGCAGTCTCCTTCAAGAAACTATTTTTTGATCTATACACAACACATTTCCCATAAGAATAAAAGATGTTATTCATTATTAATTATGCATGTCAGAATATATGAAATCGGGTAAAATGCTGATGATAACAATGTTCATAACGGTACCAACGTATGACATCTAATAACACCTATAACAACAATAACAGTGGCAATAAAATAATTGGTAAAAATACTAACGATGGTAATAACGACAGCAAAAATAATTGAAGTAATAACAAACAACAATAATAATGATGTTAAATTATAATGGACGATTGCTGCTATCTTTATTATCAATGTCGTTGTTATTATCATTATTTCTACTATCATTGTCATTATTATTAATATTATTGCTATTATTACTGTTATCATTATTTGCCATCACCTTTACTGTTGTTACCTTTATTATTGTCATTGATGTTGTTATTATCATTACTGCTATTGCTGTCATTATTATCTTTATTACTGTTAATACTTTATTATTTCCACTGTCGTTATTACCATTGTTAGTGATTTTACCAATTATTTTATCAGTTTATTGTTATTATAGGTGTTATTAGTTACCATACGTTGTTGCTGTTATGAACATTGCTATCATCAGCACTTTACCTAATTTTATGTATTTTGACATGCATAATTAATAATAAATAACATCTTTTATTCTTATGGGAAATGTGTTGTGTATGAATTCAGACATAGTTCCTTGAAGGACACTGCTAAAGCAAGCTGTCCATCACCGGTGATAAACATGAATTAGATGCGTCGTTTGCTCTTGGTAACTTCATTGATCAAAACTTGACTTTAAAGCCATCAAAATCACCAACGTTGATATGTGCAGGTGTTCTAATAATAGCCACGAGATGAACATTCCCAACATGCTCTGAACGGGTGCGTCTAATAATCTCGCACGCGCATTAGGCAAAATGACATTAGGCAAAATTCCCATTAGGCGAACTCTTTTAGTCAAAATGTGCATTAAGCAAACCGTCCTTATGCAAGATGTCTTCAGACAAATTGTCGATAGCCAAAACGTACATTAGACAAACTATCGTTAGACAAAACGTCTTTGGGCAGATTGTCCGGCTACCGAATGAAACAACTTGAAGAACAAACAACAACAAAAAAAACTGACGCTGTTTGATTGATTTCTTGGACAAGATGCAATTCGCTGAGCACAGACGTGAGTTGATACTCTGCCATTGAACGATGCGTGCATCGTAGACAGTGCGTAACACATCCATAAAAGGTTGCATAGCAGAATTGAATGCTCTCAACGTGTTCGAGCATCGGAAACAGATCGCGGATCACTTCGGATACATTCTTCTGCAGTCGTAATCGTTACTGCTTGTTTGATTCATAATATCAGTAACGATAACATACTCGGGAACAAACGTAATTGCACGATTTGTGAGCGTGCGAAATTTTTTTTGAGTTATTTTCACTATTTTCATTTGGAAGTGGATGTTTCGGTTTGTTTTCGTATGTTGTCAACTTTATAGAGAAGCGATTTTGGGTGATTTTGGTTACCGAGTTTTAAAGCAGTCGTTGTTATGAAAAGCTTCTTGACAGTTTTTCGTAGTTATAAAGAACAAATTTTGAAGAGCCTCTTGACATTTGTGAGATATGCAAAAAGATGTAATACATACCCCATATTGTTCTCCATATTGATCAGTTTTGTTCAACACTCCAGTGTTTATAACGAATACAACGTGTTCCGCAGCTGAAACATAGGATGACTAAAATCTGGTAGTTAACAATGACCAATCGAGCAAGTTTCCTGGTTTTATAGCGCTGTTTCGGACGATGCTGTGCCATTCCTGGCTTATATCTTAATATTTTCATCTTTGTTTCAAATTCGAAAAGTGCCTTCTCATGTAGTCAGTCAGAGAATCTTATCACTTACATGACTTTGCCGCGATATAAAAAGCTAACGCGATTGTTCCACCAATACACAAAAGAACAATGATTGCGAATGTAACGAGACTCCATCGAATCTTGCAAGTCGGTGATGCGATTGGCTGTGGACGGTTGTCACTCACTGGTGGTGCACTGATCTGTTTCAAACCACTCTTCAAACGTCGATGCAGATATTCAAATGGATTGCCGTAAAATGATATGGCTGGATGACCGTCCTCTCTTATCGTCAATGTGACGGGTGCCCAATAAATTGGCTCTGAAGTATTCGTCTTCGCAATATTTTCGCAGATGGTTGTCGGAAGAGCATCCGGTGTTGTTTCAAGATCACTTATCGTTTCATAATCGTCTTCATGCGTCCTTTCGACGCAAGCCAACGTTCCATGCTCAGCGCTAACAGTTTCTTTCTTTTTATCATGCTCGTCTACAATGATTTGATTTGGTTTGAAGTCATTTCTAGGTTTGCATTCACGATCATCATTTCGAGGATCATGGAATGAAGTGCTGGGTGCGATGCTGGGTGTTGGGGTGGGGAGACTACTTGGTGGTGGGGGAATCACTAGGCATTCATGATCATCACTGTGATGATCATTCAATTTGATTACTGGAATTGGTGTTGACTGGGGTGTGAAAATTTGTTGCTGGTCAGCATTCGTATCAGAAACATCAGTATGGTTGCTGGCTTGCGTTGAAGTGCTTGATTTTCTCATGTTGCGTTGCACTGGATTTTTGAGAGTTGCATCCGTTTCGTTTTTGCATTGTACTATTTGATTTTTGTTTGTTCTTTTGATATGATTTCGATCGCCGTCGTCGCGAGCAGCACTGATACTGGCTGGTGAAACATGCGGGATTGCGATCATTCTGCGCGAAATTCGCTGATCGATCAGAGACAAACGATGTGGTCGTTCGAGTTTCGAGGTTGATGTCTCCGGTTGCTCATCCCAGTTGTATCGTACTCCGGATGCAGCTGCTGAAGTTGATCGATTCACAGCATGTGTCACTGCTGGCGGTTTCCGCTGAACCATTTCACTCTGCACTCGGTTCAAACTTTTCAACAGCAATTCTATTTTGTTTCTGATTCCAGTACTTATTTTTTGGGGGGGACCACTTGGTTCAGCCTTCGGATGTGGTGATTCTTGGGGTGAGGGTATTACTGATCTCGGTGGCAACCTTAGCGACCCTAGTGACGATTCCGATGAGGTCGATGACGATATTGGTGGCGGTGTTAGCTGCCTCGGTTTCGGTGGTCGAGGTGGTGGCGGTGTTAGGGAGCTGAGTGTACATGATGAAGACCTGCGTGAATGTGCTGATAGAGGAGCACCCAGAGATTCTGGTATAACAACAGGTATGTAATCATGAAACTCGTCATCCTGTACTACCAGTGGTTTATGGTTGTTATTTGCTTCGCAAACAACTGCGGCCACATTATATTCCGGGTTCTCCATGATTGGACTGATCCTCTGGAATTACTTCGTAATAGATCACTCTAAAATCTGGATATCGGAAGCAGGATGGGAGGTAATAACGGTGATATATATGAAGGCTCACAGATATCAATGTCATTATTATTTAGCGACATTTTTTTCCGAACAGATAGAATTCGAAACGAAACAAAATGAAATGAAACAGGTTGGTCCTGTTTGGTCCTGCCCATTCAGTCATCTGTTTCGTTAAAGGAATAGGTATATTAACTACCAAAAATGAGCAAAAATTCGAGTTCGTTGTAAACTGAGGTCATATCGTACGGTTATTCATCCCTCGAAAACAACAAGCAACACTTGTATTGATGCACTTATCAAAATACAAGCTGAAAATTCAAGAGAATGAAGCAAGCCGGGAAAAGAAAACTCAGTTAACTTGTTAATGGGGCAGTAGCTGGCGAATGCAATAACGGAAATGGAATGAGCAGCGAAAAATCGAAGGTGATCAGTTTTGTCATAAGGATTCCGCCGTTGTTCAAATCATATCATTAATTCAGACATGCGAAATAATTCTTCAGTATGGCATTACTTCAGGTTTTTTTGCTCACTCTTTATACGTCAGCAGTGTTTGTTATCAGTAGTTTCTTAAGCGATGAATGTGATAAGAAAGCATCGATTTGTTTGTCTGCGATTGATTTACTTGCAATTTGTTTTTTAGACATTTCAAACTGCTTGTTTGAGAGGAGTTACTTTCAGCTTCGGTTTAGAAACATTTTTCAGTAAGATAACCAAATAATGGATTATTCCTTNGTCTTAACGATGGAAGAGTCTTAGAAGAAAATTTTCAGGTCTTGTTGCAAATAAGTCATGTTATGCAAGAGAGACGTTGAAACAACCGAAGAGATAAGCGAAAACCAGAAATAGGATCCGAATCAAGCAGAAACAATTAGGTTCTGTAATGCAGAAACCTTTCCGGATATAAACATTCTTTCGATGCTGTTTCTTCATTCTTTTCTCAGCATGTTCCATTTTTGTATCGTCAGACGAGTTCGTGGAGTGTTCGCTATTCACATTGACATGATTGACTCAGCCACAAAATGCTCACTTCACAGAATATTCGTTGTCAAGTTTTGAGCGATTCTTTTCCGCACTCTTACTCTCATACTCTCGGGTTTTTTATGACATCAAATTTGGTCTTCTTATATAAATTTTGTTGTTTCTTGCTCACTCAAATATTGTACCTTGATGTTATTCACTATGATGAACAACTGCATACAGTTTTCAGCTTTTTTTGCGAGCATTCATTTTTTTGCGTTTTCACCATTCTACAACTTTCTATTTTCGACATGCACTTTTGATGGTGGAAGCTGAACGATATGTGAACGATATGCGACTATGCAGTTACCTGTTAGCATAGAATACCACCGAAGTCTTATGGGTGGCGTTATCGAGACTGATGCATAAGATCAACGATCAGAGTATATGCGAAGCATTAGAAGATCAAAAGCACAAACGTTTAAAGTGTGAGAGGATTAGAGCGCAAATGATCACTGAGTAAGATACTTAAAGCATGAATGATCACACGTTTAACGAACGAAAAATCAAGGCATAAAACAGATGATAATGGGTGTGTGCATGTTACTGAGCTCTCGTAAAAATACCTCGTAATCGGTGGAATGCAAATTGCGAAAAAGATGAAAATCTCAAGATCGAGAGTGAAGTAGAAAGTATTTTTGGGAATGAAATTAGGTTGGAAAGTTGTCGAAATGATTGGAAAACTACAATAAAAGTTTAAATGATTGAAAACGAACTGTAAATGATAAGAACTTCTAGTAGTCTTTTGGCAGTCTTTTAGAAAAAGAAAACTAATGAAATTCCCAAATATCACTCATCAGATTCTTGCATTCAGTAATAAGTGGGCAAAACAGGAGATCCCGAGAGGAATCATTAAGTTGTCTTCATCTTATTACAGTTTTACCGCCTTTCGACGGTTATTAGTTGGTTCCTCGCAAATAATTTTCGATTTCACTGCAGATTCCAAATTTCCCGACTGTTTCACATTTTGCACTCCAATGAGACTGCGACAATATGCTCACCGATCATGTCACTCTATATAAGTCTGTGTCAGGTGTTTCGATCGATCGCATTATTTAGGTCGTTTCGATAATATATGATATCAAATTTCGATGACATTTTCACCAAGTACCTGAATATTTGCGCTTCTGCTGATGGTTGCGAACAATAGTATAGGTCAGATATCATGTTCAACTTACCATCGCGCGCTTGATACGAGAACTGCATGAAAATTTACTGATGTCAATTTCAGATCGTTCATTGCTAATGTTCAATTCATGAGAGATCTGTGAAATTGGTTTCTGGCAATGATCGAAACTCTATTCTCGATCAGAACGCCTATCGGCAGTGAGAGTGACGAAAATAATTTCGCCGCATTCAGTGGTTATCGAAACTGATAGATGCAAAATTACCCTATTGGTTCCTCGAACGGAAGTCTTCCATAGGAAAGTTTGCGGAACGTTAGCCTTTTCATGCAAACTCCTAATTCAACAGCTGCTCGCCACTGAACAGCCGTTGATTTGATATGATTCATAAAAAGCAAAAGAATCCTCCACATATTACGTATGCTACCGTTTAGCGAAAATCCTGTGGAAAGTATCAGTCCATCTTAAGTAAGGTTATCTTTTGCAAACCACTCACAGAGAGCAACGAAAACCTGTGGTGTTTTTATCCAAACGTATATGTCATATATTTCGTTGTAGGTTTCTTAAATTTCGTTCGTTCGTTTGTTCATCTATTGAATTGACTTCATTTTAAAAATGAATTTGTATTTTTATTATAGATTTGGTTTTTCAGTTATTTCTTATTTGAATCGATTAGGTGCAGATGAAAATAACGGAATTAATCAATGATAAGAAATGAGCAATTCGAATTGTTTATGAACAATTTTCTATAACCGGTTATGCAATACGCTGTAACATCCCATTCAGTCATGTTCTCATAAACTCCTTTTGATGCGACTTTTGAAGGGCATTTAAAACTTCACAATATCTGAGAAGAAGTTTTGTTTCATTCCTTAGTTAAACAATTTTAAGGATTCACGCCAAAGCCTTTGACCAGCATATTTCGCTTACGAGAACTTGAATATATTAAAGGTGGTTTTGATTTGCATGTACAATTTTGCCTCTCCCCAATTGTTTCCGCTCAAGAAGAGTTGATACTCTTCAGATTTCTGTTTAGATAACGTTACGATGGGATTTTCCTCATTTTAATTTCCTCATTTTGTTTGCTGTAGGCTTGAACGCATTTCTTGGTTTATTTTAAGCGGACACAGGCCGTACCATTGGTAGATTATGATTAGTTAAGTTTAACTGTATTGAAACCAAACGTATATAATTTACGATATTGAAACTTCTAGAGATATCAAATTTTCACATTCATCCACCCTTCAGTATGAGACTTTTTATGCCAGGCTCATTAGAATGGGCATTCAACTCTCTCGAAACATTAGTTCGAAGATGAGATTGTTGAGAAGAGTACGGTGAACCCTGACGAATAACATTCGTAACATACCCACTGTATCGTCTAATATGTCTGCCTAATTTGTGATACTTGGTTGCATTTTGCAATTCGTGTGTTATCAATGTTCGAAGTAGCAAAACCGCTTCATTTCAGCAGTAACGAACGAGCATTGTGCGTCAATGATGAGTAATTTGGTTGTAGGTTTGTTTGTTCAATTTGATTTTTATGTAATGCTGAATCACTTCAGTGTGGTGATATGGATAGGTGATCAAGAGACAGTGTGAAAAATTCTGTTCTCTTGTGAAAATATTTGTGTTTACTCATGTAATTAGGGGAATGTAATACTGGCGCAATGAAAATGGAATANTAGGATTGTTTCAGTGTCTTTGTTGTTTGCTGTGTTCGCTTTCAATGATGTGCTGAGTGAGAATGTCGATACGGCATCATTTGTTCGTGAGAAACCAAAAGATAATTACGGCATAAAAAAGACCGTAAAGTTTCAACAAGTTGACCCAGTCACAAACGGATACGTTTGCTTGTTATGCACGCAAACGATCACTGCAACAAGAGAACTTGTTCTTGCTCACAAGGTTAGATTATTGATTTGACCTAACCCAATCAGTTACAGTGATGCGATTTGCTAACTGTTCATTTCGAAAATTTATCCTTGACACGAATGAAATTTTTTCTCAAAGATGAAGAAAATGATCATAACTTGGAGAGAAATGCAAAATATTCGAGTGCTTTGAACTGTTCTAAGAGAACCGAGGAATTATTATGAAACCATGTTTCCGGTCAAATCATTTGTGGTACGATATTTGAGACAAGCTGCTACAGGATGCAGTCTAGCAGTTGCTTCTGAAATCCATTCAACCATTTTTAGATGCGAACGGCAGAAAATTTCAAGATTGATTTTCATTCATGAAGTAATCGCTCCGAACCAGGTGGCGATAATCAGAGCGCGATATCTCGGCGCGTTACCTTTGAGCTTAGGCTTAGGTTGACGCTCATAGCTTAGCTGAGGTATCTATTAAACAAATAAATCATTAGGTCACACGTGAGTGAGATACATATTGAACAAGCAGATAATTTTACGGCATGAGCCTCATCCCAAACCTGAGTTCGAATACACTGCACTGCAGTATGCCGCTCCGATTATCGCTACTTCCCCGAACCAGTTTTTCATATTTTGCAACTTGAAACTGTCAAAATAAAATTCATGCTTTCTATGGCCATGCAGTTTATCACCGTATCACTAGACCCCAATTAAAATCCTCAAATTCGCTAAATTTATGGCGCAATTAAAGATGTTCTTTATAGACAGAAGTAAGCGATATTCTGGAGCAAGTATGCTATAAACTGTTCGGCCAACATCCGGCTCAAGAGCAAGCATGTGAAGCGTTGATCGAGCATGAACTGCCATACATAATCAAGCTTATCGAAGAGAAAGTGCAACCTCATCAAATCTGCATTAATCTTGGCCTGTGCTGATACTACGACTAATCTCATTCGAATGCCTATTCCAGTTGTGATTCATTCTCTAACGCTTATAGTTAGCAGAATTTGGAGTTCGCCCCGTCACTGTTCTCATTGGTGTGCGCCAATCGAATAAATTGTTCAACTAAAATTCATGTTATTCACGTTTCGTGCTTAACCTGTATTTACTCGTAAAATCAATTAATGTGATCATTAGAAACCACAGGGATAAACAACTTATCTCAAAAATGAATCGAAACATTTTATTCACCAGTTTCTATGGTTTTCATTCAAATATATTTAAAGATGATCATTTTCACATGTTAGCAACAAGGTTAGTTGCGTAACAAAAGTTAACAAATACAAAGTTAATATCCGAAGGATCAAGAATAGCGAACAATATCGATAACATTCACAATTCTGTGAATGTTATCGATATTGTTGCGAACAAATAAAAGAGGATAGAAACTAATTTAAGGCTACTGCTTTGATTAAGCGCAAAATCGAATTGTTGAGCTTTCACGAATTGCGAACAAATAAAAGAGGATCGAAATTAATTTAAGGCTACTGCTTTGATTAAGCCCAAAATCGAACTGTTGAGCTTTCTGTTGTTCAAGTCTTCCTCTTTCTTTGGCTCTCAAAATTTTGGGCTTGAAACATTTAGATGAAACGGAAATGGTATCGTTTGTACACTGTAAACTCAAACTGTGAAATGGAAAGATGCACAGGCTTCCGACAAATCCTCAAATCAACGATGAATAAAAATAACTGAATTTTCTGAGCGTTCGTAAAGTCAAGAATTTTCTCTCCGTAATCCGAAATCATTTCATAATAAAGATTCATCTCAGGAATTCTTCTAAAACACGCAAAGTGCATTCGTCATAAATCAAACGAACCACGATTTTAAACCAGGAAACAAAATTAACGCTAAAATTAGATAATATTTCGCAATTGATGCAAACTTCAATCAAACTCATCACATCAAAATTTGAATATTTTTCAAAACAATACTAAAGTACAATAACAAATGAACAAAACAAAGAATTTTAGTTCAAAATTCTCAAAGGAGCATATTGTACGCATCATTTCCTCAAACGACTAAAACGATTCCAAAAAAATAAGAAAAACACAACGTAAAACAATGAAACCAATGAGATCTTTTTGAAATTGAACAACGAATAGCAAATTCATTATATGTTACAAACCGCAATTGTTTCTTGTTGTGCAAGCGAATGACAGCTTTTTTAAAAAGTGAACCGAAACAACTTTTTCACCGTTCATTAGATGTGAGTGCAGTAAACAAGTACAGTCCAATGAAAATCCACAGGAATCAGAAAATCTGCGGTAACTGAAAACGCAACTATTCATACTGTGAATTCGCTTTTATGTAGCTTACGCAATCATTAACAATTGCATAGTCCGCGAGAACAAATCTCCAACTAATTTGGCAAGGCTGGGTAAGCACAGACATTTGATGACTGCCACTTGTAAAGACACTCTATGATCTATTCGATGTCGCAAAAAGACAACAGTCATGGTTCATGGGATACGGCAAACCCAACTGAGATGCAGAAATGGGTAAAGGAGGATTCTACGATTCACTCTTAACCACCATCTTCTCAACAGCGTCATGAATCACCGTAAGTGCCTTGGTAATCCCAAACGCAGTCTGTGCAACCCTGAGGTAGACTATTTATTTCCTTCTACTTCTCGCTTTCTTTTTCGTCTCGGTTTTTGGTGCTTCCAATTTATATCCATTCATCTCACACCATCCGAGTGGAAATATATTAGTTGATCTGAAATAGTCGAGGCACTTAGCATCTCATTTCAACAAAAACAAATAAGAATCGGATCAACACGCATGCCCCCATTGAAAACAGGAGC